TTGATATCTCATAATTCACCAGACCAAATTTAGCAATCTTACTAATATTAAAACCATATGAACTTCCTCTACAACTTTAATTAGGAGTCAAAGAGAAACTTACTTAGTAAAAAAAGAAGTTTACATAGTACTCTCTGTGCAAATTTTTGACCTTTCCTACTACTATTAAAATTCTATATGTAATGCCTGCCAATTTTACTATGATGCTTATATGATGCTTCTATCCTTTAACAGTGAATTACTCTCAAATATTTTATTTTAAAAAATATTATACAATGAATATATTATAAACATTATTGGTATATACAAAATAAAAACCACCCAACCATATACTTAGAATAGACTAGAATTTACCTAACCACCAACCCATTTTATTTATATAAATAATGAAATAATTCTGATACTAAAACACCAAGCTGGTAAAAGTTCAAGTAAAAGTTCAAACAAACATCCAAGTCAAACAAAAGTCAAGCAAAAGTTTAAGAAAAGTCCAGGTGAAAGTTCTATAAGGTTAGAAAAAGTTGGCAAAAAGGCAATAATAAACAACAATTAAATTACTTACCCAAAAAGTTCCAGCAATGAAATATGACAAAGACTCCAAGGATAATAACAACGGCTTTAATGATATTAATTTAAATAACTATGATTCCGATAATACTAAAATTATATTTAAAAAAAAAAAAGAATGTTAGTTCAAGAAGACAAAAAAAAACAACCAAAAAGAAAAAAAAAAGAAAAAAAAAGAAAAAGCAAGGATAATAATAATAATAATAATAATAATAAAGTAAAATGAAAGAAAAAGAAATGATAAAAAAAAAAAGAATAAGGTGAATAAAAGGTGAAAAAAAGAAACAAAAGAAAACAAAAATCAAAAAAAGAAGACTCTAGACTAAAGTCCAAATGAAAGTTCAAGCAAAAGTTTAAATGAAAGTCCAAATGAAAGTCCAAGCAAAAGTCCAAGAGAAGTCCAAGAGAAGTCCAGAAAATTCCAACTGAAAATTCATGAAAGGTCAAAAAAATCTAATTAAGTCCAAGAGAAAGTCCAATGAAAGTCAAGTGAAAGTTCAAACGAAAATTCAAGAGAAAGTCCAAAGAAAATTCAAGTAAACATTTAAATAAAAGTTAAGCAAAAGTTCAAGAAAAAGTCCAGGTGAATGTTTCATAAGTGTTAGAAAAAGTAGGCAAAAAGACAATAATAAACAACAATTAAATTACTTATCCAAAAAGTTCAGCGATAAAGACTCAAAGACAACAAAGAAGACTCCAAAGAAACGATGATGGCTCTAGTGATGACAGTTCCAAGAACTATGACTCAGGTAATGCTAAAATTACATCTAGAACGAAGAAAAGAAAGTTATCAAGAAGACGAAAAAAAAACAAGAGATAATAAAAAATAAAAAAAACTAAAAATGAAAACAAACAATAAAAACAGGTCTAGATCTTGAAAATCTAGATCTAAAGAGTCGATTCTACTTGAATACCAACATTCTGATTGGACAAATCAATAATCTAAATGTAATTTTTTTCAAACTTTGAGAGAGGATGTCTCGACAACCACCTGTCTGAAATTGATGAAAACCTTTTATTTTAGTTATACATTTATATAGAATCGAAATAAAAAAAAATTTATCAATTTCAGATAGCTGGTTGTCGAGATATCTTTGCTCAAAGTTTGGAAAACTTTACCGCAGCTTCTGTTTTGATCATAAGTTTCTTTCTTATCTAAAATTAATAAAATTTTTTTTAGTTTAATTATACAAGCATATAAAAAACAATTGATTTTAGATAGGTGGTTTTCAAGATGTCTTTGTTCATAGTTTGGGAAAAAACTTTGCCGCAACTCCTATTTTGATAATTTTTTTTTAAATTTTGATCGAAAATATCTCGACAACCACTTATCTGAAATTAATAAAACTTTTTATTTTAATATACTGGAATATGGAATCAATAAAAAAATTTCATCAAGTTTAGATAGGTGGTTGTTGAGATATTTTCATTTAAAATTTGAAAAAACTTTGCGTAGCTTGTTTTGATAATCATCTAAGTTTTTTCAAACTTTGGGCAAAGTTACTGTATCCTAACAGCTATCTATCTAAAATCGATGAAAATTTTTATTCTGATTTTAAATGTCTGTACAATTAAAAAAAATTTTTTTATTAATTTTAGATGAGCTGTTGTCGAGATATTTTCATTAAAAGTTAAGAAAAAAACTTAGATAACTATAAAACAGCTGTGGCAAAGTTATCTTGACAACCACCTATCTAAAATTGATGAAAATTATTTTATTCGATTCTATTTGACTATAAAATTAAAATAATGAGATTTTCATTGGTTTTAGATGAGTGGTTATCAAGCTAACTTCGCTCTAAGTTTGAAAAAAATTGCATTTGGATTATCGATTTCGTATATACTTTATTTACATACCATCTCTAACATATCCGTACCATGACGTTCAACAAGTCTATACGCGAAAAGACGTACAATCACGCGTTATTCGAATATGTACCACTCCGTACAATGAACCTATATATACCACAAACCTGAACCATTACGAATATTACCGAAACCACCCATACCACCACCCGGACCACTTTTCTTATAGGGTGATCCTGGTTTTAGCACGTATTGTACACGGGTTCTAACTTGCAAATTTACGTAAATTTTTGCGAAAAAAAAGGTAAATCTCACTCAAATTTAGGATAGAGTAAGTATAAGGGCAATAGACTATACTAAAATTTCACGATGAATTTTTTTAATTAGAACCTAAAAGGTGGTTTCATAATAATAAATAATAGAAAGTGATAATTTTACATTATACCGGGTTTTGAAATGGTTCTTACAAAAATATATGGTTAGAGTAGTGATGACTATAGTGAGAGTTGACTGTATATGGGGTGTCATCTATTAAAACAGCCCATTTTTACATTTGAACAATTTTGAGATAATTGAGTTTAATCATTTGTTTTGATTTTCGGACTGATCCGGGATTATCAAATTTCACGATTTTGATCGGTTAAAGGTAGCAGGTGACTATTGGGTAATCTCGTAATGTGTTGGCTTTACAAAGCCTTATGTAATTTTTCCTTTACATTTTTTTGATTTTTTTATTATGCAAATCGGTTTTCATTTATAATTGAAAAATGTTAACCATGTCAAAATTTATATGAATCTAATAAAAACTCATTTTTCAAAAAATTGTAAAAATGGGCTGTTTTAATAGATGACACCCCATATAGCGCAGTGTTGTTACGGGACAGTTGTGGACATGAGTTTGGACACTTATGAATATTTCTGGACAAATAAATAAATTAAAATTACTCGAAATTTTATTAACCTATTAGAACTTTCTAAATAAAAATATTCAGCCTATAAAAAATATATAATTAAAGTTTTGAAGCTCGAATATGATTAAGACTTTCTTGGACATTGGACATTATCTAAAAAAGTATTGGATATAGTAGACAACACAGTATGAAGTATTTGAGACATGTATAGTACAATAAGTTTCAAAAAAAAAATTGCTAACCAAAAAAAAAAGTTACGAGGCTCTCGGTACTTTGTGTTTAGTACATCGCCCATCTTGACAAATTAGATTGACATCAGGATTGAAATGAAATTGACAGCCAAGATCAGATTCGCAGGAATCTCCCTCTTTCACGATCATCAGGATCCTGACATACATGGGTTGTTTGACCACAAACTCCAGACAAACAATCAGCATCTTTATCGCATGGTGTCGCATTGCGCAGGACACATTTTCCTATACTTGTTGGATCAAAATCGCCGCATGAGTCTGGGGCATCTTGGACACAATTTGATGACTTCTCGTAACAAGTGCCATTTCCATTTGGACCACATGCTTTAGAAATTAGGCAAAGGTCACCCTTATTACGATCATCTTTGTCTTGACACACGTGAGTTGTTTGGCCGCAAACTAAAGACACACAATCGTTATCGTTATTGCATGATGTGCCATTATATTTGGCGCACCTTCCTGAAATAGTATCACAACGGCCACTTGGACTGCATGCATTATCAACACTGCAAGGTTGTTCAGGAGTGCGGTTATCAGAATCTATACATGTTTTTGAGTTTTCTCCACAAATGTTTTCTGAGCATTCAGAATCATCATTACATTGTTCTCCTAAGGCACGAGTACATACATGGGTTGTTTGACCACAAACTCCAGACAAACAATCAGCATCTTTATCGCATGGTGTCGCATAGCGAAGGACACATTTTCCTATACTTGTTGGATCAAAATCGCCGCATGAGTCTGGGGCATCTTGGATACAATTTGATGACTTCTCGTAACAAGTGCCATTTCCATTTGGACTACATGCTTTAGAAATTAGGCAAAGGTCACCCTTATTACGATCATCTTTGTCTTGACACACGTGAGTTGTTTGGCCGCAAACTAAAGACACACAATCGTTATCGTTATTGCATGATGTGCCATTATATTTGGCGCACCTTCCTGAAATAGTATCACAACGGCCACTTGGACTGCATGCATTATCAACACTGCAAGGTTGTTCAGGAGTGCGGTTATCCGAATCTACACATGTTTTTGAGTTTTCTGCACAAATGTTTTCTGAGCATTCAGCATCATCATTACATTTTACATTGTTCTCCTAAGGCACGAGTACATACTGTCCGATCGCCAGAAGATCCACAAGCTCCGCTTATGCATGCTTTATCAGCGATGCACGAAACATTAAAAGGTCGGTTATCAGAATCATCGCATTGGCCCCGACCATCAGAAAGAATTCTACATATTGCACTATCGCATGCTAAATCAACGATGCACGAATCGTTAGAAGGTCGGAAACCAAATGATACGCATGTGCCATTATTGCAAATTTTTTCGGCACAGTCGTTATCAGCGTTGCAAGCTTAAATTACATTTTTTTTAAAAAAAAAACAAAATAACAAAGTCAAAAGATATTCGCAGATTCCTCAGAATAACTAAGACGGTACAAACTTTTTTGTCTTTTAAAAAGTTGTCCATTTTCACTGTTAGTAACAGTTGCGCTGCAAATCAAGACGTTAAAAATGAACCGTATAAAACACCAATTTAATTTCATCTAAAGAATTTGTAATGAATTGATGAATAATTTATTTACTAATCAATATTCTTGAAGTCAAAAGGAGTCTTTCTGCAGTGCAAGCAGACTTAGACCTTTTAAATAAAAAATTAGTAATAATGTTCATTCACAATTAAATGAGTTATATTACTATTCCTATTTCGATGTAAGTGAAACGAATCAAACTACAGTCAAACCTCTCTATAGTCACACCTCTGGGATACACAAACCTGTGATTGTAAAGAAGTGTGTAATATAGAGGTATTTTCTATATAGTTATAAATAATTGGTAAAAATAAAATTGTAATTATATCAATTTTGTGACTGTAGAGGAGGTGACTATAGAGAGGTTTGACTGTAGTAATATTTTAAATATGTTATAAATATGTTATAAAGATGTTTTAAATATATTTTAAATATATTTTAATATGTTTTTACTATATTTTTATTATATATAGTCAAACCTCTCTATAATAACCTCCTCTACAGTCACAAAATTGATATACACCAATTATCTATATTAGTCACACTTCTTTACAATCACAGGTTTTTTGTATCCCAGAGGTGTGACTATAGAGAGGTTTGACTGTACTCAATCTTAATGAAACGTATTTTATCAGCATTCATAATATGTATTTTGAACTGGATTGCTCTTGATTTATTTTAAGAAAAAACCCATTTATATGCAATTGTTACACTTAATTCGCCTGGCATTACCACCAAAATCATCAATGAAACATTAATTAAAATAAGATCGTTATAATTATTAGCTGAATAAAAAATACAATTAAAAAACGGCATAAAGTATGAGGCTTTGTAGTTGAAAGAGTCGAAAAAATATGATATTGAGATAAGGTAATCAAGTTTGTCATGTTCCGAATATTTGTGTTTATTAGTTAATAATTTTTCGGGATATTTTCGCGCCGAAATTTATCCAAATCTTGTTGATTTTTCGTCTAAATTTACTCAAATCTTACGATGATTTTCGCACCAAAATTTACCCAAATCTTATTATTATTGAATTTCAGGAGCAGTTTGCAAAAGAATATTTTCTTAATGAGATTTATTGCTAAAATTTTAAATTGGTTTGTCTTCGAAATGTCTTCAAAAACCCAACTAAATACGTAAATTGTATCAACTTTATAACAACAACGACATAACTTTGCTAATCAATACTATTTTTAATTTATCGCTAGTGGAAAATGTTTTTATTCCATCTATGCTAGTCGAAAAAATATGATTTTGAGATAATCAAGATTATTGTGTTCTGAAATTGTGTTTATTGGTTAATAATTTGGGTGATGTGCAAATCAAAAATCACCTAAACTTTTTTATGCAATGGATTTTCGCGCCGAAATTTACCCGAATCTTATTGATTTTCGCGTCGAAATTTACTCAAACCTTATGATTGATTTTCGCGTCGAAATTTACCCGAATCTTATTGTCTTATGATTGATTTTCGCACCGAAATTTACCCAATCTTATTATTGATTTTCAGGGCAGTTTGGGCCCTTCTACCACAAAAGAATATTTTCTTAATTAAATTTATGATAAAAAATTTTTATTGATTTGTCTTCGGAATGTCTTGGGAAACCCAACTGAATACGTAAATTATATCAACTATAGTTTTAGTTAGTTTTGAAAACTTGCATTTCACAAAGACTGCGACATAAACTTTTACTAATCAAAGCTATTTTTAATTTATCGCTAGTAGAAAATCTTTTATTTCACTCTTCTATGCTCTTAGAAAACGGTACGCTTTCTTTAAGTATCTAATTTCGGCATAGCATGAAATTGAATCTATAAACATTCATTTGTTGTAAGAATATTGTAGACTTTAACAAGATCAAGCGCTCACACATAAATTTATAGATCTATCAGCTTACCAGTTCAAATGTAATTATATTTATTTGAAAGTTCATTGTATACCGTTGCATTTAGTATTCTGGTCTGGCCGACCTGAATGACCCGATACTAGCATGCTACGTGTATAATAGACAGACTGTGGTAAAAGGTTAGTCTTATTAGAATTAAAAGCATTCTGGCAATACAGAATAAAATACTATAAAAGAGTATGAAGGTTGCTAATATTCTAAGTATATAGGTCTATAAAAAAAAACTCATCCCGGCTTTATTTAGACTATCGTTCCATTATCGAACCGGAACATGCTGTCACAACCTGGGAGAGTCTTTATATTCACGTAGCCAATTCAGCTTGGGTTGTAAGCATAAAAGAGAGGGAGCCAAGTGTTTATTATATTTGTATATAGCAAGAAAAATAAGAGGAAACTACAACCAAGTGACCAACGTCCCCTATTACGTTACAAATCAAGAGGTACTCCCAGAGTACTTTCCACGGGTCAAACTAACTAACTACTGATTAACCAACTAAAGAACTAACCAAAAGACTCTCTCTCTCTTTCTTTTATATCCCTATTCCCTTTTCGATTGTTATGCAAGTGATTACTAATTACTACTGAACTACTACATACTTATTACATAATCCCTGCATATGCACTAATTACTACATAATTACTATCTGATTACATATCGAAAAAGTAATTGTTACTTCATAACAAGGCAATCGTTACACAACAGAGCTCATATTTAGACCCTGTTGCGTCACATATTCCTCCTCTTGAAGGATAAGCTCCAGCAAATCCTAAGTTTTTTTTTTTTTTACGTCATGTGCCTTTTTACTTATTCACGACCACTAGGACTGTTTCTTTACAATCCATCTCCCACTGGTCTTGTAATATATTGTTTGAGCTGGTTACCATGTATAGCTTGAGTCACCAGTTCTATCTTATTATCTACGGGTTGGAGTTTATAGGTTCCATTTCCAAGCTTATCATGAATTCAGTATGGATCTGTCTACTTTTCTTTCAATTTCCCACCCAATTGTTTGGCTAATCTGGCCTGATATCTTAATACTAAATCACCAATTTTGAATGTTTGCAATCAGTGTTGGTTGTTATAATACCATTTTTGCTTCAGTTGCATTTTTCTAATATTTTCTCTTGCCATTATACAAGCTTCAAACAACTCATCAATGATTCCAAAAGTTCGTGCTAAAATCAAGGCTTCATATTGTTCTTCTGCTATACTATCCACAGGGTACATCTCCAACATCAACTCAACAGGCAAAGTAGCTTCCCTACTATAAAGTAAGTAGAACAGACTATATTTCATAGTATAATGTTTGGCGGTTCTACAGGAAAATAATGCTGGTGACAAATAATCATCCCAATTACCATGAAATTGACTTACACATTTGGCCAAAACTTTACACAGGGTTTTATTGAACCTTTCTACCAGACCATTACTTTTTGGATAGTAAGTTGTAAACAACTTATGTTTTAGTTGAACTTTTTCACAGACAGCATCTATCACTTTATTAACAAAATAGGAGCCTTGATCCAATTGGATTTGACATAGGCATCCATGGTGACTTATTATTTCTTCCAATATGAAGGTGGCAACACTCTTAGCGGAACAATCTGGTGTAGCTCTTGATTTGGGCCATTTTGTCAGGTATTCAACAGCAACAACTAAATATCAGTTCTCTTTATTTGTCACAGGTAACAGGCCTACTATATCTATGCCAATACAATCAAATGGTCAAGTTACTGAAATAGGGTACAAAGCTTCTCTTTTAGATAATTTTTCCCATCATTGATATACTATTACAACTTTTAATGAAGTTTCGAATGCTATTTACCATCTGATTCCAATGATATTAAGTCTTTATTTTCTCTATCATAATGTTCTTACCCAAGTGACCAGATATAGGATCCTCATGCATAGCTTTCAACACTAATTCCACCTGGTCTTTACATATTACTCTCAAGTGTTTTTCTGGATTTCCTTTATTTCTTCGATACAAATGCCATCATATACTAAATAATGTTGGGCTTGAGCTTTCAATTTCTTTATTCATTCAGTTGTATATTTCTCAGTGAGCATTAACTTGTCCAAATAATCCACTAATTCCTTATATGATTCCAATTCCTTTTTTTTTTTTTTTTTTTTGAAAAAAGGTGCTGCTTAGATAGAAAATGTCAGATTTCATCTTCTATATTACTGTCATATGATATCATGTACTTTTCATTTTCTTACCTAGTACTAATAAATTTTTTCTATTTTATAGATACCCATTCCCCGCACCTATGCATCGTAGCCGTCCCAACTTTACTATATCTGTATATTTTAATAACCTTTTTACAGTCAGCCCTCTCTAAATGCATGATGCAGGACCATAGTAAAAAATTGAAAAAATATGCATTTAAAGAGGTTATGCATTTAGGAAGGTAAAAATCTATAAGTGTTATATTAGTTGGGCCCAAGAAAAGACATGTATTTAGGGAGGTTTTTCATATATATGCATTTAGGGAGGTCTAACTTTATATTAAATTTTGTATTCATCAATAATTTTCATATACACCCTTGTGATTTTGATTCAAATTAATTCTTCACATTTGAAGTTCTAACTTCACTTAGTAAGTTATCTAATCTGCTTTTACTTTTTGTTATATAGTTAAATGTAATTATTGTAAATAACACTGATAGTTTTTTTTTTTTTTTTTTTTTTTTTTTTTTTTTTTTTTTTTTTTTTTCTTTTTTTTTTTGTTTTTTTTTTTTTTTTTTTTTTTTGTATTTTTTTTTTTTTTTTTTTGTTTTT